AGGAATAACTCATTTTGCCAATGAAAGCATGTATTGAGGATATTCATCAGACACTGAGAGGAAATTTCCAGATGGCAGGTGGGCCCTCCACTGAGGATGGAGCCCTGCTAATGGATGAAGGCAGCCTCCTGCTGTCAGGCCAGAAAAAAAGATTCATTTGGTTCCCCTTGTCCAAATGCCATGATTACCAGAGAAGCCACTGCAGCAGCAGGCCATCCTGAGGAGGGGCTCCCCCTCCATCTTGACAGCCTGGTGGACATGGCCATGTTTTAACACTGAAGTTTCTTAAATCTTCAGAGCATACTTCCATCTTGAAGGACCTTCTTGCTCTCGTACCTACATTGACAACCCACCACTCACTCGATGAAAGCCTCGGACTCTCTAATTGACTCTTGACTGGTTGAGGCCATCTGCAATTCTTAATCAGAGCTCCCAAAGATGGCTTCTTAATTGGCTACCTCCCCCAAAATCCCCTTTGGAATACTGCTGCAGCTATTTTTGTGTCTCTGATACACAATTCATCCTGATGGAAGGATTGGATTCTATGAACAACAAACTAGACCATTGAAAATGCAAGAATTGACTGCATTTCTATGGAATAGGAACTAAATTCTTGTCTATTTCAGTCTGTTATATACTGACAGACAGACTTTTTGGCACTATAGGTTAAATATTAAAAGTGTGGAGTATCATTCCTTCAAAATTTAATTGTTGGAGATTTTAAAAACATCAAACTTTGAACAATTTTTTCTTACTTTCTCCTTTTCTCTCCCAATCTAATGCTTCACTCCTTTTATTTTTCTTTTTGTACCTGCTTTTGTTTTGATATTAAATTCAGGCCCTCTAAGCTCTACATCCCTCTGTACTTGCTTTACTATTTTCACAATCCTTCAGTCTGGTTGGTTAAAGTCTTGAACAGTTGTTTGCCCTGTTCATTCAAGTCCCAGATATTCTGTTTTCTTTACTGCCAAGTTATCAGATTGCATTTTCAGCAACTTGCCAGACAAAAATGTAAAAAAAAATGTACTGGTGCAAATCTATCCACCAGCAGACATCAAGTGCTCTGTCATCTGAAATTTTAGCCAATTATCTATGTGAACTTTACTTAACAGCTTGGTTTTATAACGCCATAGAAATACATATACCTTGTGTACATTATCCGTCATACTCACTATAGTTATTTAGACTGATGTAGAAGGTATGATGTGGTTTGATTGTTCAAGAAGCTCCATATATCTAATTGAAATGTTGTCATAATAGGTAAAAATTGGTTCCTCTTCATAGCACTCTCCATTGATGATTTTAATCACCTATTTCTTCCATGGCTTGAGATTTCCAAAGAAGCAGATATGTTCAGCGAATCAAGAGATCGTTTTTTTTTCAAAATATGTGGCTCAGAGCGAATGCAGTGTATTTTTTTTATTTATATGGGGATCTCTGGCTACATCAGCATTTATTGCCAACCCCTAATTGCCCTTGAGAAGATAGTGGCAAGCTGCCTGTTTGAACTGCTGCAGTCCATGTGCTGTAGGTAAATCGACAAATGTGCAGTTGCTGATTTGGATTCGGTAGGTCAATAACAAAGTCCAGCCCTTGTAAAGTTGAAGATTTTGTTGATCAATTATTTGTTAGTATTTGTAATGGCTGTGTGGAGGTCAGAGAAGTGGCACACAAAAGGGAAGGAATACCCAATGTTGAAGAAATTGGGTTTAGAGAAAATGGGTATAGTTACTAACCTCCTGGTGAAGTAAGTATTTGGTGTGCATGTTGGATGTGAGCACCCTTGTTCTAGGGCACCCTTCCAAAAGGACAGTGGTTTGGGAATGCTGACTTATGCAGCAGCCACCTTTCTCAAAGCAAATGCAGCATCGTAGTCCCTCATATTGTGGTGCTGATCGCCAGTGAGCCAAAATCATACATCTTGTCCCACTTCCGTTATTAATTTAATATGCTTTATAAACAAATCTGTAATTAGACATGGCAAAATAGCCATAAATGCCCCCAACCGCAGCAACAAAATTACTGTGATTTAATTTTCAGAAAAATGGAGAATAAAATAAACAAGTCCTTCTTTTTACTGTATAGACTCTGTAAACAAAGAGAAAAAAGAAAGATTGAAGACTGTTTAGTCTGTGCTCTGTGAACTCCCCTTTTCCCCTGAAAAACCTTAGAATGAAAACTCCAAAACAAATATTAGGTTAGTGAATGCAGTGAAATTAGATCAGTGTTTTTTTTATTAACTTAAATGATTTAGGATTAAATTTGAAGTCTTAATGGGATGCATATAGATGTATGCAGGTTAGCTCACAAATAATTGAAGAAAGTGCAATCTAGAAATGTTTTAGTATGGTGTCTTCTTTCCCACACACTCTTAATTCTGGCACAAATGACTGGAGGACTGCTGTTTTGAAAAATAATCTTCAAATGCAGTCCTCCAAAGCAAAATTATTTTAATTTGAGGTTTGTGGTTTATAAATTCAAAGTTAGCTTTTTTTTGGGGGTGAGCTAAGAAAGCAGTCAACATTCAGGAGTAATATCCAAGAATTGAAGGATTTGAATCTGTCAGATCATACATGTTTATGAATTAGAAGTAGACCATTCAGCCCCTTCAGACTGTTCTTCCATATATGATCAAGGCTGATTGTGGCTCCAAATCTATTTCCTGTCTGCCCACTATACCCATTGACTCTCTTGTCAATAAAGAATCTAATCAACCAGAAAAATACTTGATGATTCAGCTTCTACTGTTCTCTGGGGAAGAGAATTGCAGAGATCAACAACGTTCTGAAAGGAAAATAATGATTTCACCTTATCTCCGGTATAAATAGAAGACACCTTTTTCAAAAAATAAAAGTGCTGCCTGGTTCCAAATCTCCCCCTTAAGGTGTAACATCCTATGGACATACAACCTCTTAAGTTCACTCAGGATCACAATTAGATCTAAATCTTCCACAGGGGAGTCCCAAACTTTTGGATTTGAACATGTATCATGTTTCTTGAGCTGATAGAGAAAGTTTTTTTAAGTTCGATGGAGAACTTCATCATGGAGCCTGCTGAAATGCCCACTCGATTTTACCAGTCGTCTCCCAAAATGCTGAGGAACCCCTCCCACACACAATATCCTGATATTGGCAAAATGCCAAGTAAGTGGCACTATTGAGCTCTGAGTGAGAGGTTCATCTGTTAATGTTTTTGCAAGCTGGTTGCAATACAGGCCCATACCAACAGAGTCAGCCAGCCTGGACTCAGCGTGAGTCAGTCAGGGCTGTGTCCTGAGTTAAAAGGGAAATCCAGCAGTGTCACAAAAAGGTCAATGATGGGCTCTGCAAAGGTAAGTGCCACAGTCTTTTCTCTGTTACCTCATACTCAATGGCCAGCACTCAGTCTAACTCTGCCACTGTTAAAACTGATGGACTACAACTCTCAGTATTGCATGCCCACTCAAGAGCTCTCACTCACCTCACCTTCTCAAATGTCTAACTCTTCTTGCTCACTCACTGAGGACACCTCACGAGTTCTGCTAGTGCATGGTCACCAACTGCTATTGCATCCACTTCCATCATTCTCAGTCCCTCCCACTGTCGCGTTACCGGGAAAACTGCTCACAACCAAACTGATGTTTCAACAACACCCTGAGTGACCCAGCTGGAATCCTTGCACTGCTTGTACTTGACCTGCAAGACTGACTGTGACCAAACTTGTAGTGTAACTGGATAAGCTCCTGACCCCACTGCAGTGTGTTTGCTGTGTAAGCTCCTGGCACACAGTGCGCCTCTCAGGTAGATGTAGCACTGTGCCAAAGTGATTGTGTGCCCCTCTCTCTAACAGACTGACTCTCCACCATCACAAGCTGCTTGTCTCTCCCTCAACATTGAAAAGCACGATAAGCACAAAAATTGACAGCCTGTAACTGAGCGCTCAAGACCTCGTGTGCTAAGAAAGCAATGTGACACACACCGGTGACTGGCATCCTGAAACTCAGCGCTGATGTCAGTAAGTGCTAAGAAAGTAAGATTGCATGCCATAGGTTGCATGTGCCCTGGTCAACACAAAAATATCCCGACCAGATGCATGGGACACTTGGCTGACCCTGCATTCCAAACATCCTGGCGAGAGCATCCAAGTTGGAGTTACCCATAAGCTTTAGAGTGTTGAAGCTTAATTAATCCAAGAGCAGGTATGATGATGTGGTGAGGCCGATGGTTTGCCTGTATGGCATTGTGTGGGTGAAGTGTTGAAGAGGATGGTGACCATAGAACATGCTGGACGTTGTGCAGAAGAAGCAGAGACATAATAGCCGAGATCTGCAGCTGCCAAGGCAGGTACCCACTTTGTTTTATCTGTTGAAAATTTACGCCATTTAGTCTCTTGGAGAGGAGAATTGGAAGTGGGACGGAAATAGGGTGAGTTGTGGCTTTAGTGAAATGCAAATGCAACTGAATAAGATAGGTACTGCTCATGGAAGAGAGTCGCCATTTGAGGCTTGAGGTGAAAATTAGGAGAATTGATGTGAAAATCTTTTCTTTTGTCATTTGGGCCTGTCTTTTGTCGCCGTAGCTGCCATTCCTCTCGCCATAGCAGCGAGGGACAAATTCCACCCTCTGTCACCCTCCACAGATGCTGCTAGATCTGCTGAGTATTTCTGGAACTTTGTTTCAGTGTGCTACTGGACACATTTCTTTTAAACTAAACGGTGAAATGTGCAAGCTAGTAGAAACTTGAAATTCTGAACAAAAGCCTCGGGCTCATAATCTGATGCTTTATCTACACTCAGTCAGGTGGCTGAATACGTTAGTTCGACAGTGGGGATGCTCTATCTTGGCTGAGGGTTTATTTTGGTTAGTTGGTAGGAAAATCTGTAAAGGCTGCAGAAATGCAATTTCCAGCACTACCACTAACTGCAATGGCATAGAAGGCCACTGGTGAAGATAAACAGCATTTGAAAATATGATCAAAGAAAAATTTAAGTATACACAAAAAAAAGCCAAAATGACAGAACATTCATTGTGTGCTGTGCTGTTCAAATTTATTACATAAAATTATAAAATAATGGATATGCATTACTTCAATGCAATGTTAACAAAATTACATACTTTATGATCGCTGATGTACAGATAAATATTAAATGTAAAAACACTTCTGCCTAAAATGTTTACTTCCAACATTGATTGTTGCATTGACTAAGATTTTCCCAACAGGGGAAAAAAGGAATAAAATAGAAACGTTCTCCATTTAAAGATAAAGTAATGCTTTTGATCGTAAAATTCAAATAATATGGTTATTACATTATAACAAGTCCATACTCTCAAGGTTCACAATGTAATATGTCACATATTCAGTGATAAACATTTACAGAGCAGTCCTTTTTAAATATCTATATATTATATACACATCAGTTAATGCAATAACTTTTGTAAAAGTTAAAAATATTTATTGTATTAAGCATTAAATGTACAACTTGTCAAGGTAAATCAATCAGAACTGATGACTGCATATTAAAATGTGTCTCTTTTAATGATGATTACTGGTTAACCTTGTGGTTGCATATCTTGAAATGCCTTTTTTGCAGTAGATGTTGTTCTACCTCAATTGAAGGTATGGATAGTATATTCCATGTAGAACACCTTCAATAACTACATTTGGGGAGTCATCTAAGAGATCACAAGAGAAAGGAAGGTCAGGGCTATAGTTAACATTATTACTGTCAAAACAAAAGCTATAGTTGAGTTCTCTTTATTTTGATGTACTGGTGAGACTATGGGATGTTTCCTCGGGACAACAACTGAAGTAATCAACAAAACAGAGTATTGGCAACACAACTAAATCAGCAAAGCAAACAAGTCTGAGTCAGTCAGACAAAAGTGGTTATGTAACAAAAGCAGAAATCACTTGAGATTCAGCGAGCCAAGCAGGATCTGTGGGAAGAAAACAGAGTTAATGTTTCAAGACCAGTGACTCTTCATTAGAACGATAGCAGCAAGGAAAAGGTGATATTTATGCTGAAGTAGAGGGATGGGGAGGCGGGATGGGGAGGCGGTGTGGGAGAGGGCAGCGGATAGGTGGAGATGGAGCCCAGAGAGATACAAAAGGAGTAGGTAAATGAGTAGAATATAGAAAGCAGGTCAGGACAGAGAAAAGCTGAACAAATAATAATGAGAGCTGAGTGTAGGAGAGAATGCGGTGTACTGAAAGCAACCCATGTCATGATAGGACCATGGTGTGGGGGTGGGTAAAAAACATTTAAGAACAGAATCAGGTTCTAAAGTTCTTGGACTGGATGTTGAATTCTGGAAGCTGCAGGGTCCCAAAGTGAAAAATGAGATGCTGTTCTTCAAACTTGTATTAAGGTTCACTGGAGCACTGCAGCAGGCCCAAGACAGAGATAGTGGCATAGGATCACGGTGTGTTGACATGGTAGGCAACTAGAAGCTCGGGGTCATTCTTGCAGACAGAACATAGTTGTTCTGCAAAATGGTCACCCAGTTTGTGTTTCATCTCCCCAACGTAGAGGGACCACATTGAGAACTGCAAATAGAGTAGACTAGATTGAGTGAAGTACAGCTAATTTGCTGCTTCACTTGGAAGGTATGTCTGAGGCCTAAGATAGTGAGGACAGAAGAGGTAAATGGACAGGTATTGCACCTTTGCAATTGTGCAGGAAGGTGCTGAGGGTCCATGGGGAGGTGTTGGGAATGGAGGAGGAGGAGTAGATCAGCACATCCCAAGGGAACAATTCCTGCGGAATGCTGACAAGGGAAGGGGAATGTGTGTTTGGTGCTGGCATCCCATTGAAGGTGATGGAAACCGTGCCTTACAAACCTTTGGATGCAGTGGGTGGTAAGTGAGGACCAGGGGTACCCTGTCATTGTTGTGGGAGGGAAGAGAAAGGGTGACGGCAGAAGTGCGGGCGATAGGTCAAACACGGCTGAGGGCCCTGTTGACCATGGTAGCGGGGAATGCTTTGTTGAGGAAAAGGATAGACATTTCTGAGGCCCAGTGCGGAAGTTGGCACCATCAGAACAGATGTGATGGAGACAGAGAAACCGGAAGAACGGAATTTAGACTTTACAGGAAGCAGGGTGCGAGCATATAAAGTCTAGGTAACTGTCAGAATCAGTGGATTTGGCAGCTAGTCCATCCCTAGAAATGGAAACACTGATGTCAGGGAAGGGAAGGGAGGAGTCAGAGATGGACCAGTTAAAGGTAAACTCTGCTTTCTTTCCCCTGATGCCACCAAACCTGCTGAGTTTCGCCAGCAACTTGTTTTTGTTTCATATCTCCCGCATCCGCACTTCTGTGTTTTATTGAAGCAGTTATATACTTTGATCTGGATGCATCTTGATGATTGAATTCAGTTATGGCCACGAAAACACTGGAACATTTCCTTCAATTCTGAATAAAACAGAGGCAGGTTTTCACTGTGTCAGGGGACTCTGGAAGCTTTTAAAATTGATAGGTGTGACCCTTATTTACAATGAATCCTAGTTTTGCTGGTAGGGGAAAATGGGGAACAGGATGGCGAATCACAAAGGCAGGAAACCTGAGCTCAGTGCAGCCATTTAAAGTTCCTGCTGAGTTATAACAGGAGCCTTATTTTCACTGTAACAAGGGCTACTACTTTCAGTTGGAGACAGACACTTAATAAATGATTGTTGGGCCGAAGTCGTGATTTGAAGTTATTTAAATTCCTACCCCCTTTAAAATAAAAAGGTGGCTGGGGCATTCACAAGGCCACTGTTCCCCTTCAAGATTATTCAGATTTAGGTGAAGTTGACTTGAAGAACTGCAGAGATGCAGACCACAAATATGGACACTGGGATGGTTATCATCTGGGATCAGATTTTGGACGCTCAGTGCCCATATGGGTCTTTGGGGGCAATGACTGACAACGTTTATTTATCCAACTCTTTATAATGCTTAATTGGTTCCCATAGAGACAGGACAGAGATAGGTACCCCACACAAACAATCCAGGACAAAACCTGACCATGACTGCAACCACACATACAAATTTCACCCTGTCCTTGTGTATCTTTAAGTCTGTGATAGATTATTGACCAGGAGGTGATCAAAGATTATGGGGAAAGGGCAGGAAAGTAAACATGAGGAATATGGAATCAGCCATGATCCCATTGAAGGGCAGAGCAGGCTTGAGGGGTTGAATGGCTTATTCCAGTTTCTGATTTTTATGTTCTTATGCTCCTGACAACAATGAAGCTAATGACCTGGCAATACACAGGTCAGATCATAGAGAAAGATAGCAAATACTTCACCTCAACAAAGAAACCAAAGGTTTAAGAATGCTGTACACAGAGCTTTGGGCAATGAACAGTCTAATGAGAGGATGATATTACAGTCACACCAAACCTGTGAGGAAACCTCCAGTGAATATGCTAAAATAAATACATGACATATAAGAAATTGTCTAGAGTATATAACCCAACCTGGAATAACCTACTATTTCTTAACATGTTAAAGGAGGGAATCCTTCAGAACCACCGGAAAATTCTAGGTTTGGATTCTCATTGGGCAATGATTATGGAACCATCCTTCAATGGGCAAGCAAAATCGAAGTTAAACAAAAGGCAATCTCCAAAATCCACCGTGGCAGTGATAGAGATAGTAGACAGTCTGATCAGACTTAAACAGGATTGTGGGAGGGCAGAAAGAGAAGCACTGATGATTTCTAGTTAAAAACAGCAGCTGACCAGCAGTTCCCAATCAGAGCAGACACAAAGGTAGCAGTTGGGAAAACAGTTAACAAACTGATGGCAGGAGAGTTACTACAAGGGACAATTCCCACAACTGGAACAACAACAACTAACTCATCTGTGTGGCCAGCCCTGAAACCGGATAGAATGTGTAGGTTGACAACTGATTGCACAGCTCTGGATAGAGTAGCCCGATGATTTACATCCTTCTCTGTTAGCTCTGCCATAACCTTTAATGGGTTAGGCCCACACAGAAGAAAATCTACAGTTCTAAACATTGTCACTGGCTTCTGGGCCATTCCTTTGGCTCCAAAGTAACAGAACAAATCTGCTTTCACTATGTAGGCAAAGCATGTGATTCCAAGTGAACTCCAAACTTGAATGAGGTCCAAAGTCTGCCAAGCACCAGTAGGATCCCTGGAGGCAGTGGTCATTGGGAACGTCCTGCCTGTTGGCCTGACCAGGCAGGTCCAAAGAGAATGATTATGGGAAGGTAACATTAGGTTATTATTGTTTGTCATGTGCTTAACACAAATGTCCCAGGATATTAAATAAAATCATTGCGTGATGCCAGATTGCTGATGAGTTGTGAAATTGTTAAACTATGAGGGAACAGTAACTTTGTGCTCTATAAGCATGTGCTGCAAACACTGTATTGTTTGTTGAGCAGGTCCCCTGGTGACTGACAGCCGCTCTCTTGTACATGCTCGAATGCAATCTTTACTTACTAGATAGACCTTAGGTGTAGGGTAAAAGTTCAGCACAACATCGTGGGCCGAAGGGCCTGTACTGCGCTGTACTGTTCTATGTTCTACTTGAACCTTGTAGACAAGAGAATGGTCTTTTCACCACAAGTGGCTTGCTGTAGAAATAATGTTTTCATAATAGGAGTATGAGGACAGAGGAGATATTACAAATCTACACTTTGAGAATTCATCATTTTAAATGATTGAGGAAGGGAGGAATATTTTTCATTTAAGTAGTTTGTCTTCACCTAACTATTGGACAAACAGTCGAGCTCCCTGAGAGATGCTGTGCTCTCCATTTCTGCTAAATCTGGGTTCAGAAGACCTGGTACAAAATGTGGACTTAGAGGTACATTGGAGCAGAGCACAATCTGATGGTGATTGCTGATCTTCAGAAAACCTACCAAATAATTCTCAGGGAGCATATGGTAATCACTCTTGCATGCAAAAAGAGCATAGGGACATGATGAAAGTTTATGAAGTTCAGCATAAGGGAGTCCAATGTTGAGACATAGGAACAGAATATTCAGCCCCTCTAGCCTGTCCCAACATTCAATGGGATCAAGATGGATTTGTGGCCTAATTTCATATCCCTTAATACATTTGCTTAATAAAAAGTTATCTATCTCAGATTTTAAAATCAATAACTGATCCGATATTCTCTCTTGCTTGTGGAAGAGAGCTCCAAATATCCAAATATCTACCATGGTCCTATTAGGTTGGAAACAATCTGTTGAGGCATTAACTTCAGAAAAAAGAACAAGATAAACCAGCTGTCCACAGACCAATTCATTTTTATACCTTGCAAAACACAAGTTGAGAGCTACCTGGGTGGTAATCACCCACATATTTTTCCAATGATTTGAATCCATGTTCTCTTGCTATGTTTCTCAGAGGGAATATTAATTAACACTTGGCCATAGAGAATTAATTAATACATTGTTTTTCTTTTGGGTGGTGGGGGGAGAGTTTTTAGCAACAAGTTGTGCCTGGTAGCACTATACCAAGCTTCCATTTTCCACTACTCAGTGATTACTAAGGATGAAAATTTGCTCAGAGCTGTTTGGGTTTACAATATGCAGTTTGGAGGACATTCTCTACCAGGTGTCCTTACTTGCCTCTACGGTGTGAACTAGATGACTCAAATACAAGAAAACATGGCTAAAGTGAGCTCAGATCACCATAACAAGCTCAATCTGCACTCAACAACTTTGCTTTTGCATTGGCAGGTCAATAATAATCCAGTATAGAAACGTGAACAAACTTTTCAGGGAAGAGAAGGGGGGAGGGGAAGAAAAACACAATTCATAACATCACCTTTAAAAACATTTAATCTACTGGATTTACGTTAGCCTTCAGTTTAATTTTCACATAATGTTACAGTGTTAAGGGCTGAAACACTAAAGAGCTGTTAACAGATGACAGATTTGATTACCGGTGGCTGTGGGTAAGATGAATGGATCCCTCAGGAAAAGCAGGACTGGCTGGTGGGATAGTTTACTGGAAAGGTCAAGGACAAGAATGTTAGTATTCTGGGATTGCCAACACAATCGTTCAGGAGATGTACCAATTTGTTTTCAACTACAAAATTGTGAATTATATAATTTAAAAAAAAAACACAAAACATTATATTTCATTGGTTTGATAACAAGTTCACCATGCAACAAAATGTAAGATTAACATTATTTTGCCACTTTATATTTTAGAAGTTCAGATATACTACAAACAATTTGAACTTGACTAACAGCAGTGTGGAAGTATCTACACCACATGGCTGAAGAATGTGGCTCACCATCACCTTTTCAAGATCAATTAGTTTCAGGTAATAAATGCTGGTCTTGCTAATGATGTTCCTATCTCATTACAAAATTTGAAACAAATCTTTGAAAGTGACTTCTTAAAAATTGCTTCAACAATCAAGAATCCAAGATTTTTTTCAAAATTAAAATATTCCAAAAAACTTCTAGATTCCAGGTGTCTAAGTGTCATTCTAATGAATATACTTTAGATATTTTTGTTTGGACACCTAGCAAAAGTTTAAAAATAACTGACTCATTACAACTATCTCATTTTTTAAAAATAAGACCCTCAAGCAAATAAATTAATCTTTGGGTGATTAAATATAACTGAAGGGAAACTTCTTGCATCCAATTTAACCAGTCGATTTATATATTCAAGGCCTTGGCAAGATAAACTATGGAAGCTTTCTAAGCTTCCACTCAAAAAAAAATTGTACTGAAGACTTTTTCTCTCTTTTTACAGCAATTGATAGCCATGTCACATCTGCTTTAGATATTTTGGACAAGTCCCTTGAACTCCTCACTCACTCTAAAATGGTTGAGGAGGGAAGATGCCAAAATTAATATCCACAAAATACTATGTCAGCATGAGGCTACTTTATCCACATCCTCAATGGTAGATGTATTTATACTATCAGGTCAAGCAGGCAAAACCGGAGTACTTTTTCCTCGTATTTTTGAAAGTGAAAACATTACCTTAAGCTGATTCAAGTGGATCAAACTACAAAGATGCTCGACTTCAGTAATAATTCAGGGATAATTAACACAAATCCACAGATCGTAAGAATAGTAATGGTCACTACTCTGCTGATCAACCTTAATAATTGCTCTCCAGTTAGTTGTTCAGGAATGGCTGGAAGTATTCCAGCTTTAAGTAATACAGCTGTGATGGATTTCCTTAAAGTTTTTGTGGAAATCCCAAGGCTTGACAGCAAGGTGAAGGGAAGGATACTTCATTAAGATTGGTCATGGTGGATGGCATACTATAACCATTTATTAAATTTAAGTGTATGGAAATCTCCTGTCTTTAAATATCATGGTGTCCTGAACATCCTGTAGAGGATTAAGTTGGCAGCACTGGTAAAGATATCCACATAGCTGTGCCTTTAGGATTAATTAGTTCAATTTTCTTGATCCAAGTATTGATCTGGAAATGCTCCATATTCACAGGCACAGTTTCTCCGTTTTCTTGATTGTATTTGAGACTTCACAAATAAACTGATTTTCACTGATTTAAAAATTGCTTCATACCAGTAAGATGGTGCTGATGGTGGATGGCACGTTGATGAGATATATGGCTTCACGCTTCATTTACCTTGTTCTCAAGTAAGTAAATTGAAGAGAAATGATAAGGTCTTACCTGAATTCTTCACAATCATAGTCATCAATGGAACTAAAAATGATAATTAATTTTCACACATTAACATCATACTTAATATTTTGTCTATTAAATATAATACCTGTGTAGTTACTGAAAAAAAAGTTAGCTAGAGGTTTATCAAATTGTCAGTTTTCCTTATGGATTTTCATTTGTTCCATAAACAATACCGTTTGACAAGAGGGAAAAATGTCTAAGGCAATAACATCTTCTCAAAAATCAAACCTCCTTCTCATTGATCAGCCATAGCTAATTGCTAACTAGGTAAAAGTAACATTACTATAGTCCCAGAGAATGATAGGACTGTTTTCTCATTAGACAGAGATGACTGTGATGAATTTAACTTGAAGATTGTCATGCCTCAGGCGCAGGGCAAGGTTGAGAAGATGACATGGTAACCTCAGGCACTGATACTGTACATTGCAAACTGGCTGTCCAACCAACTGAGCTAACCAACTCCCCCCACTTAGTACTGTGCTCAACCAAACAGGTGTGTACTAGCAAACTCCAATTTGATGTTTATATGATTGGCAAAAATACATTCGAGCATAATGGGTATGTTTAGGAGTTTTAACTTTTATATTGCATCTGTCATTAAAAAATAAATAGGAAACAAAAAACAGAGAAATGAAAGGATGAAAGGACTGCTTACTTTTCATTTGTTGACTTGAATATCTTTGTTTTCTCTACTTTTGTCGATATTGCTTACCTTTTAAATTTCTTTTTCCTCCTTATATGTTTTAATCAGTTCCTCTATTATCTTTTAGGTGGGAGCTGGAAAGCCATTTAACATCAACAGAAACCAATTTACTCCTGCTGTTCAGCATTCAAAATTCTTCTGTGACAACTATTATGGTACGGTCTGTCTTTTATGAAAGTGAATGTCACCTTCACAAATTAAATCTGCTTGATGATGAAACAAATAATCTTTCCATCTTTGTTGCAAATCTGATCAAGAATTTTTTTAAAAATGGGAATTTAGGATGTGTCTCTCGCGACATACTATTCTCGTGTTCATGGCTAAAAGGCTGTTTTATAAGTTTGTTAAGGTTCGTTTGACTTATTGTGCTGAAATTTAATATTCAACCACTTACTGTGGTGTGGTGTTTACAAGAAGTCATGCACAGTACCTAACGTGTTCTTTTCGGTTTCTTGCAGAATAAACCCATACCATAAAGTACAAAATTCAGTATCTTGTTGTATCATTGGCTTTGGTGCATTAATTAATTTGTGAATAAATTCTCTTACAGAAAATTTTTTTCCCCATAAAAAAAATTTACAGATTAATTAATGCACCAAAGACAATGATATAACAAGATGCTGAATTATAGAATACAGTATTTTCTTCCTCAACTGGCCCATCTGTAAAAAAATCTCTTCTCCAAGCTGCTTCCAATATAGTTTCAAATTTCAAAGATTTTTAGTCTTTATCACAACATTTCTGTAGCTGCTCAGTCACACAATTATTCCACCACTGATGCTCATCTCCGTAAAAGCTTTCCTCTCCCTCACCATGATTATTCTCCCTGGTGTGGCCCTATGTCTTCATTTGAATGGTTAAGCCAGTTGTGTACAATATATATCACCAGGTTTGGTTGGCCATATCAGGCACTATCTGAGTTGACAGGTCTCTGCCAAGCAGCTCATTCCTTCAGAATCATCCTGGAATGCAAAAATAACCCCAGCTTCTATTATCTGTAACAAGCCATATCTTGAAACCCCTCTCCCTTTCCTTCTCAGTTCTTATCTTGAAGATCAGGAGTGAAAAGCTATAAGTTTAAGAGCATCTGTATAGATGCTTCTGATTTCCCGTTGCCAACCAAACTAAACTGCTTCCTTGGTTTCAGCTGTCTTGCTGTCAACTCACATCCTTTTAGTCCCTCTCCAAGTTCAGTGTTTATGAATCTTAGCTTGGGATTTTCCCATTTGAAGCTGAATTGTAGCGATAATAAAGTTTCATAGTGTACTGTCTGCCATGACCTGGGATGAGGTAGATTAATCTATTTAGTACTTCCCAGCTCATTACTAATGCAAGTGAGATGTTGGATGTGTGACTTGGTGATTTTGCACGGCCTTCCGCTGCCAGCATCTTCCAGATTCCAGGCTCTGCTGCCCATGTAGACACCATTTCAGGTCACAGCGTTGGAAAGGTCGGTGTCAGACATCAAGCTCATCACATTCCCTTTTCAGGAGAAGATTGAGTTGGGCGGATTAAACAAGGACTGCTCCGGTGATGATGAATAAGCTCCAGTGTTCTGTACTGTTCTCCGATTACCACCAGTGCTAACTCATTCTTGTTCTGCATAAGCTTTTATCCATTTTCTCCCAGTCGGTCCTTCTCCTCTTATACATGCAAAACTGGTACCGAGGGAATCTCTGTGAGGTTAAGGCCATAGGTTGAGCCCCTCAGCCACATCTTCACCTCTGAGGAGGAAGCTTGTGAACTGTCAGAGGATGCACCTGCAATGCTTTTGTGTGCATCCTCCACCAGCTCAGAGCTATCACCCTTGGTGGATACTCGAAGTAGAACATCATTGACAGGTGTCCGCAGCTCACGGAGCAAGAAACTCTTGAGATCTGTTACGCTCTGAGGACTGTCAGAAACAAGGCATCCGCTTGAGCCCCACGCAGAACATGTGATGCACAGACTGTATGCACTTGACCTCCAAGACGGAGCATGGTCCAATCCCCTGATAGCCAATGTGTGCTTCCCTAACTAGCACCGTCTTGATTACAAAGGACTTCCCAGCACAACCAACTGAAAGTAAAAAGCCAGGAGCACAAGAATGCTCATTGCCATCCCTTACCAACGAGGAAAAGGAACAAAGGGAAAACAGAAGTATCAGCTTGATTAACCAACTGACTACATGCACTATGGATTGATCCCATGTAGTGTAATTGTAAGTAAAGATAACTTACAGCCACGATACTACAAGTCACATAGTCTAGGAATCATAGAAAATAGGAATAGGGTAGACTATTCATCCCCTTGAGCCTGTTCTATTAATATGATCATGGCTGATCATCATACTCTGTACCCTGTTCCCTCTTTAGCCCCCTACCCTTTGATCTGTTTAGCTCCAAGAACTATATCCATCTCATTAATAAATAATAAAATTCAATCAATGAATTATGTTTAGAAACTATCGAGACTCATAGTCAGTTTTGTAATCCTAGACTTAAAGAACTAGACATAAAATTACTTTACAATTGCCGAGAATAACACCCTCTCCTTCCTCATCCAGTAAATTGGATATGCTGTCATCGAGTGCCACTCCTACATATCCAGCTTAGATAGAGAAGAACATAAGCTGGACTCTCTCCCAAGCCCTGACAAATGTCTCCTTTTGCTAATTCTCGTCCATGTGCTACCTCTTGGTGACCTTACTGAGACATGGCATCCGTTTCCTCATGTACACAAGAGACACCCAGCTATTTCAAACAAACACCTCTCTCAATTCCTCCACTGCTGCTGATCTGACGTGCAGTACTCGTTGAGCCAAAATTTTTCCACAGCTGAACAACAGCCATGGTCTTTGGCCCATACCAGAAACGTCCTATGTTTATTACCGATTCCATTGACTTAAGTGGCCATCATCTTCAGTTGATCCAGAATGTTCAGAAATCTCAGTAATTCCCCCTTCAAGACCACACCCTGCACTGAGATTTGGGCGAAGTCCATCCTAGCTCTTGCCTTGTTCTATCTTTAGCTTCTCTTTCTCTCTCCCCAAGTCAGTAAGCAGATTCCCACCAGGTGCCAACAATACAGCGAACAAATTTGTCATGAGCTATTGATTTTTCTCTTGCTATCTCCATCTTTCTCTAGTTGAATGCTTCCACTGGATCTGACTTAAGCACTGGGGGCCTGCTTTTCTTCTCCAATACCATTTACAAAGGTCATTTGCAGGGGGCTCATTATTCCTTGGTCTAGATAGGAATTAATCTGCAAAAATTAAATGGAGTTTGAGGAGGTGTCAGTTCTTGTGTGGGTAGGTAATAACTGGGGGTTATTGAAGTGGACAACTTCAAGTAAATAGCTTTCCTACAGGCGTCAATATATTCAAGTGGAGTTTGCAAAATAAAACTTACATGAACAATACTGTGAAAAGTGACATGGTGTCAAAGCTTTAGAATTACATTCATCAGGACAGATGCAAGAATTCCAAATTTTGAAGGATGCAACAATTTGTACTGCATAAATAAATAACACTTGATTGGCAAGTTGACTGCAATACAGGCCTTGCCAAGGAGACTGCACTTGGGAACTGGGTGTGGTGGGGCTAGTGGGGAGTGTGGAGTAGACAAGGGAGTCATGGAGAGAGTGGTCCCTCCGGAAGGCAGATAGGGTGGGGAGGGAAATATATCCTTGGTAGTGGGGTTGGATTGTAGGTGGCGGAAGTGGCAGAGAATGATGCGTTGAATCCGGAGGTTAATGGGGTGATACGTGAGGACAAGGGGATTCTGTCTTTGTTTTTGTTGCGGGGAGGGGGTGTGAGGGCTGAGGTGCGGCAAATGCGAGAGACGTGGTCGAGAGCGTTTTCGACCACTGAAGGGGGAAGTTGCGGTCCTGGAAATACAAGGACATCTGGGATGTTCGGGAGAGGAATGCCTCATCTTGGGAGCAGATGTGGTGGAGGCGGAGGAGTTGGGAGTAGGGGTTGGCATTCCTGCAGGAAGGTGGGTGAGAGGAGGTGTAGTCTAGGTAGCTGTGGGAGTCGGTAGGCTTGAAATAGATATCAGTTTCGAAGTGGTCACCAGAGATGGAGACAGAGAGGTGCACGAAGGAGAGAGAGGTATCAGAGATGGTCCAGGTAAACTTAAGGTTGGGGTGAAAGGTTTTAGTAAAGTTGATGAACTGTTCAAGCTCCTCTTGGCAGCCTGAGGCGGCGCCGATACAGTCATCGATGTAGCGGAGGAAGAGGTGGGGGTTAGTGCCAGTGTAGCAGCGGAAGAGGGACTGTTTCACATATCCTACGAAGAGGCAGGCATAGCTTGCGCCCATGCGGGTTCCCATGGCCACCCCCTTAGTCTGTAGGAAGTGGGAGGAGTTGAGGGAGAAGTTGTTAAGAGTAAGGACGAGTTCAGTTAAGCAGATGGAGGTCGAGGGGGACAGGTTGGGCCTGCGGGAGAGGAAGAAGCGGAGGGCTTTTAGGCCATCTGCAAGTATGCAGGAACTGGACGTCCATAGTGAAGGTGAGGTGTTGGGGGCCAGGGAATTGGAAGTTTTGGAGGAGGTGAAGGGCGTGGGTGGTGTCCCAGACATAGGTGGGGAGTTCTTGGTGGGAGATAATACAGTCGAGGTAAGCGGAGATAATTATAAGGATTGGACATCCAGAGACATGTTAATTTTCAAGTGTTAAAATGAGTCACTTTGCAAAACAATTTGCAAACCCTTTCCGAGGCACTGGAAATTTACACTTAAAGGTGTTTGGGAAATTAAATCTAATAGATCAATTAAAAAAAGGAAAGTGATGGGTGAATGGGATATTGTAGAGAATAGAATAAAGGCAATTTAGGATGATCTGAAGTTTCCAGAACTTTGAGGACGGGAGGCCAGCGTCTTAATAGTCAAGTCTGGAAATGTCAAAGCCACAGATTGGAGCGGTCGCAGTGGAGAACTGTGTGTCCTTTCACAGAAAACCAAGTAACTAATTCAAGCAAAACAAGGCACCAGCCTTTGAGGAAACTGTAATGTGGGAGGAGGTTAAAATTGAATCAGATAGTAGGAACTGCAGATGCTGGAGAATCTGAGACAACAAGGTGCAGGGCTGGATGAACGCAGCAGGCCAAGCAGCATCATAGGAGCAGAGAGGCTGACGTTTCGGGCCTAGACCCTTCATCAGAAAAGGGGGAGGGGAAGGGGGTTCTGAAATAAATTGGGAGAGAGTGGGAGGCGGATAGAAGATGGATAGAGGAGAGGATAGGTGGAGAGGAAACAAACAGGTCGAAGAGGCGGGGATGGAGCCAGTAAAGGTGAGTGTAGGTGGGGAGTTAGGGAGGGGATAGATCAGTCCAGGGAGGACGGACAGGTCAAAGGGGCGGGATGAGGTTAGTTGGTAGGAGATGGGGGTGCGGCTTGAGGTGGGAGGAGGGGATAGGTGGGAGGAAGAACAGGTTAGGGAGGCGGGGACGAGCTGGACTGGTTTTGGGATGCGGTAGGGGGAGGGGAGATTTTGAAGCTTGTGAAATCCACATTGATACCATTGGGCTGCAGGGTTCCCAAGCGGAATATGAGTTGCTGTTCCTGCAACCTTCGGGTGGCACCGTTGTGGCACTGCAGGAGACCCAGGATGGACATGTCGTCTGAGGAATGGGAGGGGGAGTTGAAATGGTTCGCGACTGGGAGATGCAGTTGTTTATTGCAAACCAAGCGTAGGTGTTCTGCAAAGCGGTCCCCGAGCCTCCGCTTGGTTTCCCCGATGTAGAGGAAGCCACACCGGGTACAGCGGATGCAGTGTACCACATTGGCAGATGTGCAGGTGAACATCTGCTTGATGTGGAAAGTCTTCTTGGGGCCTGGGATGGGGGTGAGGGAGGAGGTATGGGGGCAGGTGTAGCACTTCCTGCGGTTGCAGGGAAAAGTGCCGGGTGTGGTGGGGCTGGAGGGGAGTGTGGAGCGGACAAGGGAGTCACGGAGAGAGTGGTCCCTCCGGAAAGCAGATAAGGGTGGGGAGGGAAAGATGTCTTTGGTGGTGGGGTCGGATTGCAGATGGCGGAAGTGTCGGAGGATGATGCGTTGGATCCGGAGGTTGGTGGGGTGGTACACGAGGACGAGGGGGATTCTTTTTTGGTTCCTATTGCGTGGACGGGGTGTGAGGCATGAGTTGCGGGAGATGTGGGAGACACGGTTGAGGGCGTTCTTGACCACTGAGGGGGGGGATGTTGAAAAACGAGGACAACTGAGATGTACGGGAGTGGAATGCCTCATTCTGGGAGCAGATGCGGCGGAGGCGAAGGAATTGGGAATAGGGGATAGCATTTTTGCAGGAAGGTGGATGGGAGGAGGAGTATTCTAGGTAGCTGTGGGAGTCGGTGGGCTTGAAATGAATATCAGTTTCTAGGTGGTTGCCCGATATGGAGACAGAGAGGTCCAGGAAGGGGAGAGAGGTATTAGAGATGGTCCAGGTAAACTTAAGGTTGGGGTGGAAGGTGTTGGTGAAGTGGATGAACTGTTCGAGCTCGTCGTGGGAGCACGAGGCGGCGCCGATACAGTCATCAATGTAACGGAGGAAGAGGTGGGGTTTAGGGCCAGTATAGGTACGGAAGAGGGATTGTTCCACGTAACTTACAAAGAGGCAGGCGTAGCTTGGGCCCATGCAGGTACCCATGGCCATCCCCTTTGTCTGCAGCAAGTGGGAGGAATTGAAAGAAAAGTTGTTGAGGGTGAGGACGAGTTCGGCTAAGCGTATGAGGGTGTCAGTGGAGGGGGACTGGTCAGGCCTGCGGGACAGGAAGAAGCGGAGGGCCTTTAGGCCATCTGCATGGGGAATGCAGGTGTGGAGGGACTTGAGCTGGGTGTGAAAAATAACATTTTAGGAGATTGTAGGAGATGCAGGTCTCCTTGGGAACCCTGCAGCCCGATGGTATCAATGTGCACTTCACAAGCGTCAAAATCTCCCCTCCCCCAACCACATCCCAAAACCAACCCAGCTTGTCCCCACCTACCTAACCTGTTCTTCCTCCCACCTATCCCCTCCTCCCACCTCAAGCCCCACCCCCATCTCCTACCTACTAGCCTCATCGCATACCCTTGACCTATCCCCTCTCTAACTCCCCACCTACACTCACCTTTACTGGCTCCACCCCTGCCTCTTTGACCTGTCTGTCTCCTCTCCACCGATCTTCTCCTTTATCCATCTTCTATCCGCCTCCCCCTCTCTCCCTATTTATTTCAGTATCCCTTTCCCCTCCCCCATTTCTGAAGAAGAGTCTCGGCCCGAAACGTCAGCTTTCCTGCTCCTCTGATGCTGCTTGGCCTGCTGTTTTCATCCAGCTCTACACCTTGTTATCATCAACATTTTAAGAGTTTGGTTTTAATCTTATGAAGAGGTGTGACTTATATTAGAAATGTTATTTGCAGTTTAGGGACTAGAACGTGGGGTTGAAAAATTCATTCAGGTAGAGAGAGAGAGAGAGAGAGACCAGATAGGTGATGGAGAGAACAGCCAGAGGTTTAAAAGACAATAGTAAGGAAAATAAACCTTTTAAGTTATTTATATGTAAATACATTACACAATGTAATTGGAAGCAGAAAAACAAGATGGCATATTGGTTTGGAAACAAACAAAAAATATGCAATGATAGGTTACATAATGGCCAAAGCATGTAATGGCAACTATTCATAGTTGTTTGCATAAACTGAGATTAGGTTTGGTTGGGGCTGAATACGTTATTAGAAAGAATTCTGAGGGAAAGAATACATCTGCACTTAGAGAAGCATGGCTTAATCAGGGATAGTTAGCATGGATTTGTTAAGGGAAGGTCACGTTTGACAAATTTGATTCTTTTTTTTTTGAACAGCTAGTTAGGGATGTTGATGATGGTAATCATTTGATGCAGTTGTCATTAAGCTTTGACAAGGCTTTTAAAAATATGAAGTCACAAAAGTAAGAGTCCATGAGATCCTAGACAAAGTGGCATATTGGATCAAGAACTGCATAAAAGACAGAAAGCAGACGGTGATGGTAGAGGGATGTTTGTGTGACTGGAAGTCTGTTTTGACTAGCAGTCCACAGAACTTGAGGCCTGGAGCCCTTCCTACTTGTGGTGCATGTAAATGATTTGGATTTAAACGTAAGGTATGATCAAAAAATTTGCGGATGATACGGAAATTGGTCAGGTGATAAATTGTGAGAAGGATATCTGTAAATTGCTGGACAGGGCAGTGGCTAATGAAATTCAACCCAGTAAAGTGTGTTATTGCTGTTGTTTGGCTAGTCTATGGATCAGCTCTCCCAATTTTGTCACAATTCCCCTGATGTTAGTAAGAAGGATTTCAAGGGTCACATGGGTTGAATATGCATTTGTTGTTTCTGATGCCTAGGTTAATCAAAGGTAGTCAATTTCAGAGGGCAATCAAGAATCAAACACACTGATATTGGCCTTTATTGCTAGGTAGGATCATTGACGTTTAGCATGTGTACTTCCCAACTTGCTTTACCACTGTGGTAGGAAGGCACAATCACAAATCATCAATTTTAGTGCTGTCATATAAAATTTGTTTACAGCTTTATAAATTGTACGTATAAAGTGGTTTAAAAAAATTAAAAATCCCTGTTAATGCATTTGATTTCTCTAAATGCAAAAATGCATTATTTGTTAATTGTGCAAAAGCAGGTGCTCATTTGTTAAAATTGTTTATTTCATACAAATGTGTAATTTGAGTAAGCATAATTTCAAATTAGCAGGTGTATTTGCCTGTCCTGTATTTTTGAAGGATTTTTCAGGTAGATGCAAATATTGTAATCCCAGATAAATTCATCATATTAGTTTATAAATGTACAATTCTAATGAAGGTTAATACAACTTTAGGTATTCTTCGATATTCAAGTTGGCGGTAAAGATGTTGGAAGGATCGTTATTGGTTTATTTGGTAAAATTGTTCCATTGACTGTGGACAACTTTATCACCTTAGCAACTGGTGAGGTAAGATACTGACTGTTATGTGAAATTATGAACAACTAACTAGTTATAACATAAATTAGAAACCAATTAATTTTATTAAATATTCATTACCATTCCTATTCAATGCGCACAATTTTCTGAGTCAGCCCTGATAATCCACATCCCTATTTTGTCCAAATATTGATAATGTTGTATGCATTGTAATGATTTTTAAATGCTGAAATGCATTGAACTTTATATTCCATGCTATATTTCCATGAATTTGAAACAGTTTTAATACTGCTGAGACTGTAGTATCACTGTGTGGAGGTCTTGTGATACAATGAGTAGGGAGCCTGCCTCTGAGCCAGAAGTTCCAAATTAGAGTGCCACTCCCAGACCTAATGGCCATGGAAGGTGTATTGATAAATGGTGTTATTCTGTAATTTTCTTTTTCATTATTTGAATGTACCACATTATCACGTACATCTCATAGAACATTTAATTCCATATAAACATGTAACAAGAGGCTACTCCCATGTTTCTACCAAAGCATGAGAGAAGAAAGCAGTATCAAAGGAACGTTTGGCCCTCCTCTTGTTCCTTCCTTTCTTTCTGTGATGACATTTCAAGCTGTTTCTTTGCTTTTCATTTATGACATAGCTGAAACTGATGAGGAAACAGGAAATAAATTTTTATCTTATCAGTCTGACTTTATACCAGCTTAATGTCCTCCCTTTTTAATCTTTTCCCATCAATTCGCTCCCAGAATGACAAAATTCCTTTTCTCTGTTTGTTACAAATGATGCTTGGAAATTTTTTGCTAAATGATGTGTATTCATGTGCTAGGTAGATTCCCTGATTTATTCTTTTCTCTCCTTGGTTAAGATCCTCCCTGTTACAGGCAAAACTGGAAACTCAATGGAGAAATGTATCTGGACTCATTTTCAAGCATGCACAATAAAATAGCCCCTTTAACTGTTTAACCTGTACGATTAGATTCAGATTAACTGCCAAGTAATTGTTATGCTTGGATCCCTAGTATATTTATTCAGGCCCTAGTGTATATGCCAGAAACCAAAGCCCTCACTCAAATTTTGATGAGACTTTTAGATCAGTGCAGGCTGCCATTGTTGGTTCTGTATTTGAAAATGTTTGTGAACATTTAAAACAGGCATTAAATATGTAAAGATGAAGAAAAATTGATGAAAAGGAATTATACACACTATATTCATCGTGGCATCTTAGGGCTATTTTTATTTTCTCTTCCAGTGTAAGTAATTATAAATGATTACAGAAGGATTTCTTAGGAAAGTTTAGCAACTATTCAAATCTAAAGAATTGTACACTAAAATACATTTAAACTGAACTAAACTGGAAAAATTGCATACTCAATTCCCCCCTGCCTTCCCAACTTTCACTTATGAATTGAGCTCCTTATTTATATTTCTTGTATTGAATATCGAGCTATTGTCTGTATTTATAAATTTCAGTTCAATTTACTTTCTTGCAGTCACATCATAGCTAGTAGATCTAACCATGCAAGTGTTTGGTGAATAATTCCAACCTTCACAAAATTTCACTGTAATAAAAATAAAGTACATTGCAGAAATGATGTAGTGTTAGCAGTTGCCAATAATACCTGTTAAAAAAAACTGTCATATTTATAAAGAATCTCATAGACATTGAGATCATTGATAATACATAGCCCTTACTCTTCACCCAAGCCACCGTGCTCCTCAATCGCTGAAGTATTTCACATACTTGTGATTTAGGGGAACAGTTTGCATGTAGCATGCTCTTGCTAATAGTGTTGAGACAAACCACTAGATAATCTATTCTGATTGACATTGGCTGAGGTAAAAATATTGGCCCAAGCTCTGAAAGAGCAACTCCAATTATCTTGGAATTATGCCAGGAGATCTTTAACATGTATTTGAGAGTGCTGATGGAACCGCTGGCATCTTGTAGTAAATCATGATACAGTTTTTCTTCAAGTGACATTTTCAGTTTGCTTTTTCTGGTCTTATGTTATGTATTACATTCCACCAGAGTAAAATCTCATTTGTAATTTTGTATGCAGACTACTGTATTCTACTTCCCACAATCAATAACTGACTGATTATATTAAGTTCTTTATTCCTAAAGATAAAATACATAAAGTAGTGCTTTACAAGATGTATGGTCATTATTTTCATTGATGTATAACATTTATACATTGATCAAGCTTTTCATTTCATTACCCAATCTGAACTCAAGTTAACTGATTAAAATGTTCTGTAATATTTTATTAAATGGCTTTCAGAGAGGGTTTGGTTACAAAGGCAGCACATTTCATCGTGTGATCAAGGATTTCTTGATACAAGGTGGAGATATTACTTCAATAAGTGGAAAAGGAGGTAATTACCTTTGAATTTCATTATAGAATACACAAGTAACATTCATGTCACATAAATGTGAGGCAATGACCATCTCAAATAAAAGACAATCTAACCACTGCCCCATTGACATTCAATGGGGTTACCATCACTGAATCCCACACCATCAACATCTTTGGGGTTATCATTGACCAGAATCTCAACTGGACTTACCACATAAACACAGTGGCTGAAAGTGCAGGTCAGATGCTAGGAATACTGCAGCAAGTAACTCCCTTCTTGACTCATCAAAGCCCGTCCACCATCCAAATAAAAACCAAAAGAACTGCAGATGCTGTAAATCAGGAACAAAAACAGAAGTTACTGGAAAAGCTCAGCAGGCCTGGCAGTATCTGTGAAGGAGAAAGAGTTAATGTTTCGGGTCCGGTGACCCTTCCTCAAAACTGTTGGTAGCTAGGAAACTGTCGGTTTATATGCAGAAGATAGGGAGGGCGATGAGGTAGGGAGTAAATGATAGGTTAAAGGATCGAACCCAAGAGACAGAAGAGCAGTTGGATAGACAAAGAAGTTGATAACGATGTTGAGTCCAGAGGGCTGCAATATTGAGTTAAATAATTTTAGGGCCTAAACTCTCCCATGTCCTAGCCCCCTACCCAACACACCAGGTCTTGTTATCACATAACCTGCCATTACACACTACCTATTGTTAGTCACTAACAGTCCCCATTAACAGCTATTCACACTCCTATCCAGATCGTTATCAACTCCTTTGTCTATCCAACTGCTCTTCTCTCTCTTTGGGCTCCATCCTTTTATCATATTGTTTACTCCCTACCCCATCACCCTCCCTATCTTCTGCATATAAATTGGCGTTTTCCTAGCTACCATCAGTTCTGAGGAAGTGTCAACGCACCAGAAACGTGAACACTGATTTTTTTCTTCACAGATGCTGCCAGACCTGCTGAGCTTTTCCAGCAACTTCTGTTTTTGTTCCTGTCCACCATCTACAAGGCACAAGTCAGAAGTGTGATAGATTACTCCTCACTTGCCTGGATGGGTGCAGCACCAACAAAACTCAAGATGCTTGACACCATCCAGGACAAAGCAACCCGCTTGATTAGCATCACATCCAAAAGCATCCACTTCCTCCACCACTGACACTCAGTAGTAGCAGTGTGTACCATCTACAAGGTACACTGCAGAAATACACCAAAGATCCTTAGACAAACCCTTGACCATTTCCATCTAGAAGGACAAGGGCAGCAGATACATGGGAACACCATGACCTACATGTTCCAGCCCAAGCCACTCACTATTCTGACTTGGAAATATTCACTGTTACTGGGTCAAAATCCTAGAATTCCCTCGTTACAGCAGGTGAACTGCAGCAGTTCAAGAAGGCACCTTACCACAACCTCAATAGCAACAAGGGGATATTTGCTGGCCAGCCAGTGATACCAATGTCCTATTAGTGAATAAAAAATAACTGTTAGTACTTTTCTTCACTTTTGAAACAAAAATCATTAAATGTTCAGTTATATTTTACATTAGAAATTGGTTTTACTTTACCAGAGAAGCAGATGTTGGACTCATGATTATTTTTAATTTGCAGTAAAATACTTAGTATAAAAACAGAAAAAATACATGTTTAATACACTACTATTTTAACCTTTCTCATCCATTCCAGTTGCTGCATATACTATTTTGTTTGTGTTATATGGTGACATTCTAAGAATATAGAACTTCTGGTTAGAGCACAAACTAGACACCATTAGATAGATACTTCTTTACAGTTAATATGCTGTAAATATCTACTGTAGTGTCAGATTAATGTCCATTAATGCACTATACACTGGTCTTTGATATTCTAGGAAAAAGCATCTATGGAGATACTTTTCCTGATGAAAACTTCAAGCTGAAACACTATGGAATTGGATGGGTCAGCATGGCTAATTCAGGACCAGATACTAATGGCTCCCAGTTTTTTATTTCATTGACAAAACCAAAGTGGCTAGATGGAAAGCATGTGGTGTTTGGCAAGGTCATATCTGGAATGGTAACTAACTGTTTACTTTTCTGACTGACCACTTATTATATTCTGTATAATTATTGCCTAAAACTTTTTTTTCAGCAACAATGGATACATGTATAAGTCGATACTATTCCACTAAGCTAAAGATAGGCTAGTCATCTAAGCAGCAGGACAAAGGGTGCTGTTCACAAATGTTCCACTCATCTTTAGTTTGGGAATGAACAGATCCATTACTAAGTACTACCACCCACTCAGAGGTTTGGGACCTTTTAATTACATTTTATTTTTTAAATACATAAATTATTTACAAGTGACTTAATGTTTAATTCAAATCATTATATTCAGTCACTATTAATGAAGTGTATTTATCTTCTGTAAAAAATGGAGACACCACATACATACTAAGTCAACAAGGTGCAGGGCTGGATGAACACAGCAGGCCAAGCAGCATCATAGGAGCAGAGAGGCTGACGTTTCGGGCCTAGACCCTTCATCAGAAAAGGGGGAGGGGAAGGGGGTTTTGAAATAAATAGGG